GAAAGCAAACTCCTGTTAGATCTTCCCCCTGCTCAAAAGCACTCATGAAAGATTAGAGCCAAGGATCGTGATGATGGCTGTACACCAATGTGACTGGCAGTTGTGCTTAGTGTCATTTACTGTACATGTTAAAATGGATAAAATAGCCAGTATGGTGGTGCAGGCCTTTAATCCCAGCACTTGGGAAGCAGAGGCAGGTGGATCTCTGTGAGTTCAAGGCCAGCCTGGTCTACATGGTGAGTTCCAGGCCAGCTGGGGCTACAGGGAGACCCTGTCTTAAAAAGACCCCCCCCAAAAAAAAAGAAAGAAAGAAAAGGGTAAAATGGCTGGGCATGTGGGCATGTTGGTGCACACCTTTAATCTCAGCACTCAGGAGGCAGTGGCAGGTGGATCTCTGTAAGATCAAGGTTAGCCTAGTCTACATAGTGAGTTCTAAGCCAAAAGGGGAGGGAGGGGTTACTGTTAGGGAAAGAGGAATTTACTGCTTGTCTGAATTTACTGCTTGAATTTACTTGTTTGAATTTACTGCTTGTAACCAATTAACTCAACTGGAGACACAGGCAACTGGAGACACAGGCATCTGGAGATAGGGGCAAGTGCTGTCGGAGCCTGACCTGTCTGATATGTTTCGTGTCACATAGGCATGTCTGCTTACACAAGATAACAGGGAAGGGTTGTGCCAGGCACATACCACCCATCCCTCCCCGATTGGGACACCTGAAGGGAGTTGTAACATTTTTCTTGAAGTTATTGGTTTGTGAAATGCTTGCTTTGAAACTATTGGTTGTATAAACGTGGGTTTTTGTGTAACGGTTGTGGGAGCCTATATAATCTTTACCTGAAATTGCCTCGGGGTCGATCGCTCTAACCAGACCTGCGTGTCTTGGAAGGACGGTCGGCCCCAGCTAGCTGGTTTAATAAAACTCTGCTTGATTTTTGCATCTCCATACTCATGCATTTGTTCTCCTGAAGAGACCCACCAAGTCACGGACCCTAAACTTCATGTTATGTGTACTTCACTGCAACATAGTGTTATATAGAGATCATCAATCCAGTCACAGTCAAATCTTTGTTCATATAAGCTTCTGGCACACTGGCCATGAAAGGATGAGTAAATGGTTGTCTCATGCACATAAGGCTCATATCCTCCCCA